GTGCCTAGGTTTATACTGAAGTGCAATTGCTCTTAAAGCAGAAACTTTAACCCTAAGTTTTCCTCTAACGGCTGAGTTTGAGCATAGCCTAGCAACATTCTCACATCAAGCGAACCATGGCTGACCTCTCGCAGCATCCAGGCTGGTAAATTGTCATCACTGTGGGCTGTGGGGAAATCCCAGTGCCCTCTGCTGTAAAAGTGATCCTACAGTAAAGTGACCTCCATACTCGGTTCAAGGCAAACTATGTTTAATTTACAAACACACTGCATACCCTATGGGAAGGTGGATGTGCACTTTTTATACAAGCTGACACTTGGATGAATGGTGTGAGGCTGTGAGCTCGAAGTTACAATTACTGAACAATGATCTGTTATTGGTGGCTCAGAGAGGTATCAGAAAGGAGAGTTCAATGAGAGAATTGACTGCAATTCTGTCAGTGAGACGTTATAGCCCCACTATAAAGCTATTACCAGCAAATTATCACTGCTTTCACCCCTGACAATTAGCCTTTTTCTGGCACAGCTGTTTGGAGTGAGGTTCTTTTTAAAAGCTTGTTTAATTATTTTTAGTTTATCAGTACATGTTTGGAGAACAATGTTTACATGCCTTGTGGGAGGCTGGGACATGTACATAACACATCTTAACTCCTTAGTTCATCCCCTGTTCCTGGGCTGGGGATATAGCTCAGCGGCATAAGTGCCTGCCTGGCAAGCACAAGGTCTTGAGTTCGATTCCTGGTACCAAAAAAAAAAAAAGAACACCCCCTGTTTCTTCCCTCTCTCCCCTGTCCACCCATCTCTTGACTTGGGACAGTCTTAGGAAGGAGGGGATTGATTACCCTCAGATCAACCTCCTTGTGGCAGGCCCAAAGGAAATGGGACAATTGTGGAACTGATTTAGGAGATTCAGTCACCTATTCATAGGTTAGGCTGTGTTTGTATTATCAGTACCTGAACTAAACTGCAGATGGCCCATTATACAGATTCTATGGTAGACTTCTGGCAACATTTGATTCTGTTTTCCCAGCTTCACCACTAACTCAGTTTTTAGTAGCAATATTTGTTAAATTGGACTGCCTCCCCTTCATCTGGATACCCTCCATCACCCCAGTTTCTATAACACTGTACACCCATGGCTTTCTTCCGGCCTCTCAGAATCCCCCTTTCATTCTACTTTGCTTCTGCCAGTCATTTACATGGACGGATTCCTCACTGTTTCGTCCTACTCCCAATTCTCTTCTCCATAGACCCTCCCTCCCTAGTGCTGTCAGCTACTTCAATTACCGTGTGATGCTGATAACTCACAAGTATGTATTTGCCGCCCAATTTCTTTCCTAAGACTCCAATTCACACGGTCAGCCTTCTGCTGGAATTGAATGTCCATACGCACTCAGAATTAATCTGTGCAAAATTTAGTTCATCCTTAGGCTCCCTAGCAACTTCCAAAATGACTTTTCCTCCGCTTATTTTCTCAATTAATGATGCCATGATCTGTAAAGCTGCTCAAGTCAGGAAACTGGGAATCATTTTGGCTTCTCTTTCTTTCTTCCTGTACCCAGTCATTTACCCAGCCTCGTTGAGTCCACATGTTAAGTGGCTTTTAAACCTGCCCACTCTTTTCATCTCATGGCTTCTGATGAGGCTGTAACTACCACTTACTTACCCATGGGGTACAGCATCTTGTAAAGACCAGGTAAGTATTGTTTCCTTCACGCAGTCTTTGGAATACAGCTCCTACTTCTCATCCGTCTCTCACCCTTTACCATGACTCAAACATTCTGAAAGGTTTCAGCTCTCTTTTAACTCTCTGTCCCCACTGCTTTCTTGCTTCTTGCTTCCCTTCTCCACCCTCCTTCTTCCCCCCTCACCCTTAACTTGTCTAACACCGTGGCTAACGGATAAGTCACTTCCTGCAGAAAGTCTTCCCTGAGTGCCACATCTTGGCTGTGTTTCCTCTCTCAAGAACACCAGTGTGCACTGAATTTCTCTTCTACAGCACTTCTCATTTTGTATTGCAGTTATGGTTCTACTATTTGTAAGGATAGTTCATTTTATTCATTTCTCCTTATAAGTTTACTTGTAAGTAGAATTTTATTAAGAAAAGAAACAACTGAGGGACCAAATAAGTGACTAGGTGCTCTGCTCCATAGAGTCATTCAGGAGCCCAGCCTTCCAGCAGTTCTGTCATCCTCAGGTGACTTCTCAGTCACCCTGCATGATAATGTCTTTATAGTACAAGACAAAAGGTGGAGGATCCTTGGTGGGAGGTTTTTAAGGGGTAGGTCTTGCAATGACAGTTATCATTCCCACTTACATTCCATCGGATAGGACTCGGTACACAGCAACATCTAACTGCAAGAGAGGCTAACAAAGGTAATTTATCTGTGCCAGCAAGTTGTTAATCAGCTAGTAGTCTGCCGTACTGATCTTTAACCTCACTGCACTATAAATTTTCTGACACCAGGGGTAAAGGTTTTCTTGCGCTCCACTTTATCCTCAACTCTAGATATAATTGATAATCAATAAGTATTTGCTGAGCAAATGAAGCGATGTATATCAGTATTCATATATTGCCTTTTAAGCGTGTTTTTCCCATCCTGATGGTGGTTGCTGTCCATGTAAATTATCCACACAGCATCTTATGCAACAGCCTCTAGTGTACCTTCCTATATTTAAGTGTCTTCCCGGGGCTATGGTGTAGTAAGTATCTTTCTGAATTTCATTGGTAGGCTCCATTGCAGAAATGATTACCATGATCATTTCTGGATATGTACTACTTGTAGATGCATAAGCCACAATGTCAATTTATTTGATTAACAGACATTTATATTTTAGAGGTTAGTACCCATATTCTCTCTCCTTAAGGCATGAACTTCCCAAGAATTGCAGTAGCTGGGAAGCTGGGACACTAATCACCATTGACAAAAGCTTTAGGATAAATGAGCTTATCAATCAAAGATCTAACTATTAAAATGGGAACTCTAAATCTTCTGGAAGAGAGAATAGGTAGAACTCTTGAAGACATAGTTATAAGCAAAGACTTCATGAGCAAAACCCTGATCTCTGGGAAATATTACAGAGAATTGACCACTGGGATCTCATTATACTAAAAAGCTTTTGCACAGCAAAAGAAACCACCACCAGAGTGAAGAAACAATCTATGGACTGGGAAAAAATTTTTGCCAGTTGTTCCTCAGACAAAGGAATAGTATCTAGAATACACAAAGAGCTGACAAATTAACCTATTAGCTCTCAGAGCAAAAGGGTATTGTTAAGGCTACTGTACATATTACATAGCATACCGTTTTAAAGACCTAGAGGAAAATTTATTTTAAATAACAATGAAAAAAATAACTGTTTCTTCTGAAAATTGAATTATTTTATCTTCTGATGTTCATCAGTCATAAAACATATACTCTTTAGCATTCTCTACTAGAAAGTTCAGGCCAAATATGGGCTACCCACAGTACAGACCATCAAGATTTGCATTTTCTGTACTGTGCCAGTTCAGGCTTGCACTGACTCAACATATGTTTCTCTAGCTATAGTTTCCTTTGTCCTCAGTTTTGCTTTCTCTTTACCACTTTTTATCTTCTTTTTTTATCTTCTTACATTGCACGTTTATGTAAGCCACTTTGACTGTGTTTTGGAACAAAGGGGAACTGCATGCCACTAAAATATATTAAAAATCTGTCTTTCAAAGAGACACAAACATAATTGCAATAGAATGTCGTTATGTATTTTTCTTCTTCATTAATCTATGGTATTTCATCTCCAGAGATATTTTCTTTTTTATTTTAAAGACAATAAAAAATTTGAAAAATTAAAAACAATACAGAATTTCAAAACAAGATGATAGGAAGTCAACAATGATTGTTATATTGCATATTCTTATCTTTCAAGTAATTGTTTAGATTACCAGACATAGGCATGCAAAACTGATAAAAAAATTAAACATTAACTGTTCCTTTCAATAAATCAATAGAAATTAGTAGTATAATTATCTTAGTTATCATATATATATGATAACTTTTCTCCTTTCCCTCATCCCAGCTGTTCTTTCTTCTTTAGCAGTATCTTTCCCTTTCACTATATCTATTGTACATTTTGTATCTTATTTATTCTTTCAGTTGCTTATACTAGGGAGACAATACAATGTTTACACATGCAAATCTGACTTATTTCACTTATGAGTATCATCTCTAGTTGGGTCCATTTACCTATAAAAGCTTTGAGTTTATCTTTCTTTATAACCAAGTAGTACTCCATTGTATAAAAATATAATATCTTTTTCTCCATTCCTCAGTTGATGGGCATTTGGGTTGTTTCCAAGATTTAGCTATTACAAAAATTGTGCTGCTATAAACATGGGTGCACATATATTGCTGTGGCATGATATTTTCAATTCTTCTGAAAAAAATACCCAAAGAGAAATAGCTGGGTTGAATGGGACCTCTATTATTAGTTCTTTGAGGATTGTGTACACCAATTTCCACTGGTCTACACTCCCACCAATAGTGGAGAAGGGTCCCTTTTACTCCACATCCCTGCCAGCCTTTGTAAGGGCCCTGGTTTCCTGCTGAGTCCCTTAGTTAAACTTCCAAACTTCTCAACTTAACTCAATGTATCAACCATTACAGTATGTGAAAAATTTTTTCTACTATCATGAAAATTCATGTAAATTCTATGAGAATAGGAACCTTGCTGCTATTTCCCCAGCATGAGAACAGAACTGGGGACAGTAAATACAGACACAATATATTTTGAAAGTGAGAATATTATACATTTGTACGTAGGAGAACTGTAACTAGCACAACGATGAAGATGAAAGCATTGCATGGATTCAGTTTTATCATTTATAAAATGGGGGTATTAGACCATTTCCACTGAGATCTTTCTATTCTAATAGTTTATGCTCTTGTTGAACCTCATGATACAGTTAAACATAAAGACGTAAACATAAAGGCCTATAGTAATTTGGGAATTTTGCTTTCAAAGTAGGATATCCAGCTATGTCTTCAATGGTCCTCATAGATGTGAACACATCAAAGCCACACAGCGTGCCTCAGAGTGAGTATAGAACAGCTTTCCTCACCCATTTCAGACACAACATACAAGTTTTACCACACACAGCCTCTGTGATATTGAGATTTGGGCAGGAGGTTATATCTTTCATTTGATGTCCATATTTACCTTTGGGCTACTCTGCAGTGCATTGATGGACCAGTCCCTACAATCTTAAAAATAAGGTTGGTGACCTGTTACTATACTGTATCTTTTATTTGTCAGGGGATTTTGAGGTGGTAGTAATCTCAGTGCTCCCAGTGATCTAAGTTGGTGAGAAGAACCGAGAGAGCCAATCAGTTATAAATCAGCATCAAATATAAAGTATAGCGATTCTATTTAATAACAACTAGTGTTTGTTCACAGAGGAGGACATTTTAATGTCCAATTTCCCCAAAATCACATAGATTAAAATTTCAGTGCACCAAAGCGAAGTTGTAGTTTTATTTTCAAAGTTTGATTCTAAAAATAATTTTGTCTTTCAGCCAGCAGTTCCGGCGTGACTCACCAAGTCTCCAGTGACTCCTGGACCTCCAGGGACTCCTGGACCTCCACTGGGACAGATGCCAAAAAATGTTGAGTATAAACCTGCGTCCCTTCGCACCTGGGGCTCCTCCACTCGTTCAACACATACTGAGCAACCACCTGAGCTTGTGCATGATCTTACTCACTAGTATTTGCAAGGCACCTGCCTTGTGTAAGGCATTCCTGTACGTGTGAGGAGTATGTCTGTAAACGAAATGTACATACCTAAGCTCCAAATCCTCCCGGAGGACAGAAAAACAATGAAAAGTGATGCGGAGAAACAAAGTAGTGAAGGAACACGGGGAGAGAAAGGGGAAAGGTGGTGGTCTTGGAAGGTCTTAGCCAGGAAGTTTATAAAACACATAAACCGACAGAGCAAGCTATGAACGTATGTGGGGAAAAGAAAAGTAGCTGGGATGTGTACATTATTAATGAGGATGAAGAAAGAGAGGACCCGATCTGATACACAGAGATGATTTTATTCTTCCTCCAACCCAGCTGGCAACAGGTCTGTGCGAAGCCTGAAAAGGACATGTACTGCCTCCTAGTGGCGTTAGACAGAGATCACTGGAGTGGGGAAGGCGAGGAGGGTAGCTGGAGCAAAGGGGAAAGAGAATCCCAAGGGCCTCAGATGAAAACTCCGAATTTACCTTCCGGACCCTTTGCCACAAAGAGTAAATGTCTGTGTCCTTTTGGAAAGCATTTAAGCCATACATCTGAAACCTTTAGAGGTCTTTTATGCCTACTGGCTCAGCCATTTGACTGCTGAGAATTTGTCCTTAGGAAACGGAAGAAAGGAACATGTATGATACTGTCCTTTGTAGCGTTATTTATTTTATCTCTTTGATGGTTCTCAGGGTCACAGAGCTAGGTTAATCGTAATCTTTAATTCATGACACACTTTCATCACTAGTCAATGCATGAGCCTCTGTCTTCTATTTCTTTCTTTAAAATATGTTAATAATGTAATAGATACCTATAAACTCACTGCCCAAATACAAGAATTGAGAAGGCAGTAAACAAAAGTGATGGAATCAAAGGAGATCCATAAATAAATGTAATTTAGATATATGTCAAAGGTAGCATAGCAGATTACTTTGAAAAGGCAGGAAGGACTGTTCAGCAAATAGACATTAGTTTGCACCTCCTACCATGCACATTGCACAAACATAAATTCATGTAGTTGAAGATCTTATGTCTAAAGAAAAACATTCAAATATGTAATAAAATAAAGACGAACTTCTCCCTGGCTCTTGGGAAGGGCTTAATGAAGTTGCATAAAGCACTAGCAATCAAAAATTGATAAATTAGGATGGAATTAAGGGGTAGCCATCAGGACCCCTCCTGTCTCATAGGAGCTATTCCTAGTACCCATTCATTTTCCAAATAAATTTTTCTGCTCTTAGCCACCATTGTTCCTTAGAATTCATTCTTTGACTTCAGGAAACATGAACTTGGAATATCTGACACCTAGCATTTCCCCTATATCAAAAGTAGCTCTAAGAGAACAGTTTAGTTATAAGTATCCACAGTAGAAAAACACATTGATCCTAATAAAATAAAAAACCTAATTATGCATTTCAAGGTCCTAAAAATGCAAGAACAAACCAATTCTAAAACCAGTAGAAATAATAAAGGTCAAACAAAAGTTAATTTAAAAAAAGAATGGAATTAAGAAACCTGGGTTTGTCAAAAGATGTCTTAAAGAAGGTTTAAAAAGCAAGTTATAGAATAGAGAAGGTATCTGGCACACATGATTGAGAAATGGTCAAACACTTCATGTGAAGATATATAAATTCATAACCAAAAAAGGCAAACAGCAATAGAAATGACAAAAGGTGGATCACAAATAAAAGTGAGTAGAATCATCTAAAAAGAAGCACACCTCCCTAGTAATGAATAAATGTAAAGACTAGAATGGAGAAACAATTTAACACATAATCAATTCGCAAAAAACTAAGAAACTTCCTGCTATTGCCACATATATTATTAATATAATTTCTTATAAATTGCTAATGGAACTAAAACTTGGTTGATGTCATGTTTTAAAGTTGAACATGCACTTACCTTATAACCCAGCAATTCTATTTCTGTACATGTACCTCCCTCTCCAGTGGTATATGGATACAGGAGATATGAATACATGTACATGCAGAAGCCTGAACATAAATACTGGAAGAAAATACTGTTCACATAGCAAAATTGAAAATAATCTAAATGCCTATAGTCAGGAGAATGGATAAATAAATTGCAGTGTACCCATGTAATAATTTTTTTGGTCTTGAGATAGGGTCTTGCTATGCAATCCAGGCTGGCCTTGAGCTCACTTTGTAGCCCAGGCTGGTCTCAAACTCTCAATGATCCTCCTACCTCAGCCTCTCAAGTCCTGGGATTACAGGCATGGGTCACCATACCCAGCCTCATATAATAAAAGTTTATAGAGTAATAAAAAATGATTGGCAGGCATTCATAGCATAAATGAGTATTAATGACATTGTATTGAGCCAAAAAAGTAAATACCAGATGACAATTCTGGTTTGCATTTTTAAATAAAATAAAAGTAAGTATAAATAATATAATCAACAAATATTGTAAGCTATGCAAATGTGTAACAAAAAATATTCAGGATAGAGACATAAGAGATGGAACAGGATAAAGACATTTATAGTGTTATTTATAATGGCCCCAAATTTGTGTACGTATGATTAGGAAGAGGTAGTGTTAAGGAAACATATAACCTATAATAACAGAATGTTTAATAGGCTAAAATAATAACTCAATGAAATATTATAAATCCAGGAAAAATGACAGCCATTATGTTCTAAGCTAGCGAACTTACCATATAGATAAAGATATGAGCTATAAAATTTGTACTAGTCAGATAGAAATTGACTATGAAAACCTTAGGGACACTGAGGAAAATTCATACTTTTTAATAGATTTGCACTTATGCTATATGGCATTAAGATAAAACTGAGTGGTTTGTAACAAACTGCTCAAACTCTGCTTATATTAGTTTTGTCATCCTTTATTCTTGAGACTATACAGTGCATGGAAGTTTCATGAGATCTTTCTTTGTTTACCTGTTTCCTCAGTCCCTAAAATAATGTTTAGTACATAGTTAGTGCCCAGTCCAAACTGTAGATGAATAAACAAATAAATTGGTACTTGTTGGCTGTCACATAGAAATTATGTAGCAATGGGGATAAAAGTTTATTTGACAACTGTGTTATTCAGCTATCTCATTGCTGGGATGAAATATGAAACCCACAGTTTGAAGGAGGCGAGATTTTACTTGCTTCATGGTTTCAAGTGTCACAGTCCTTGATTGCCTGGTTCCACATGATGGTGGAAAGGCATGGCGGTGCAGCCAGGAAGCAGAGCCCGGGGGAAGAGTGCCGGGGAGAAACACACCTTCCAAAGGCAGGGAGCCAGTGAGCCGCCTTCTTTAACTGGGTCCTGCTTCTTAGCAGGGCAATCAGAAGTGAGCATCAGTGCATTAACCCTGTGGTGAGAATCGCGCCCCGTGTCCAGTCCCCTCTGCAGGAGACTCTCAATCCAGTCAAGTCGACAGCTGAGATTAACTAGCACTCCAATGTTACAAGAAAATGCTGAGCTCCGAGTTAGATCGAAGCTATGGTCAATTAGCCCATATTTTAGTTCTCAGCATAATACTTACCAAGGTCTGATTTTTTAAAAAGTATTTAATCCCCATTGAAATTATGGTAGAAGGTGGGACACAAAGGAACAAGAACCTAAGCCTTCTTGCCTCTCGCTTAGGGCAGTGTCCTATCACCTCTAACAGCGGCAGGCATGCTGTCAATGCCCAACAAGTATCTGTTGACTGACTGAAGGGATAAGAATATATGGGCAGTGCCCAGGAAGAAAACACACAGACATACACAGACAAAGTGAAAGGAAGTGATTGTTTAATTGGAACTTTTAACTTCTTTTAATTGAAGTGGCTACTATCATACGTGGCCGGGAAGCGGGCGGGGGAGGAGGAGGAAGGCATCCTGGCCATCCTCCGCACCAGCATGAAGCACAGAAGTCATCCAAGGTAATTTTTGCCCCAGAAACCGGGATACTGAAAATACGTTGCTTAAAAACCTTGCTTTATCATTTATATGATATATTCTTAGTCATTTTGCAGATATATAATGAAATGAACTACTGTGAACCTCCACATTTTATGTCCTTTTCCACTGGAAAAAAAAACTCATTTCCCTCTGATATCATTTTATCATTCTTATCATAAAAATGACTTTGGAAATGGTGAAATCTGAAAGAGAGACTCTGACACCAAAGAATTTTTCCCTGGCAGTGTAGACACACACTCTTATTCATGCAAGCATAGGAAGAGCTTGTTAACCAGTCTATAAACTTGGAGAAAACATCCCCTGCGGTAAGTTGCTTTATTTATAATCATTCGCAAAAACACATTAGGATCCAACAAGTTGAAACTGATTGCTCACTCCCAAACCATTTCTGAAACATGTTTCTGCTTGTTAGGTTGGACTGTAATGCGACATCCACTGTGGGATGATGCATTAGGCCAGATTCATGACAGGCCTTGGTAATGGGATTTTTTTTCTTTTTGGTGTGTTTATTTCAGTAGTTTTATGAAATGTTTAGAGACAGAAAAATAATGATAATGGGTGCGTTTCCAGCATTTCTAGGGCCTTTGCTGTATGCGAACATATTCTGTGGGATACTTGGCCTCTGCATGCATTTCGTGGTGCTCATATATATTTAAATGCCATGACACTCGTCTGAGCACATTGCATTTGACTACATTATATTTTAATATATTCTGTTGTCATCATTTTGCTTATAAACTGGAAGAGGAATTCAAGAATTCTGGAATAGAATGCTACTTCACTATCCAACTTTCCTATGATTTGGAACAGAAATATGTATTTTATTTTAACTACTTACAAAATGAGAGTATGCAGTCTAACCATTTTAATACCACATATATGGCATTATATATAGTTAATAACTATAGTTAATAATTTATACAGTTTATAATATTAGTGTTTTAGTATAT